TAGATACAGCAGACGAAATTTGGACGTAATTCATTTTGCTGTGGGTATTATGTTAATTTTCAGTTATGGGGACGCAATTGTTAATTGTATGATAAAAAAAAACTGACACAACGTTATCGATCGCCCCAAGGGCAGCAGGAGGGTCGCGAGACGTGCCGCCACTTGAGAGCTCGTCCAGTTCTCATGCGACTGCGAGTGAGCGAGCCCGCGAGAACAACAACAACAACAACAACAATAACAACAGCAACAACAACAACAACAACAACAACAACAACAAACAACAAACAACAAACAACAACAACAACAACAACGACAACAGACGTACATACCCGACAACAAATAACACCAATAACAACATCAACAACACCACAACAACACCAACATCATGAACAGCAACAACAACATCAACAACAAAAACAACAACAGCACCGACTACCCGCAACATGGAATTGATTGACTCATGACAATACGAAGCCACAACACGGACCCTGACAACAACATAAAAAAAAACTCCTACAACTTACAACAGCACCGACAACGTGTGATTGGTTGACTTACGAGCACCCTGGCCGTGGCCAAGGCCATCGCGCTGGCGAGCGATGCCCCGACCTCCTCCACAAAGCGGGCCGGCATGGCCTGCGTCACCACAGTCCTCGTGTGCTGGCCCAGCGGTGGAATGACGACGGCTTCACCTGGCCTGCCCATTCCTTGCTGGTTCGCATGCACCTGCTACACAGAACGCGCCACCAGTTAGCAGTTGAGAACTCCAGCCTAAAATGATCCTTGGCCAATAAGAACAGGTGCTCAGTCAAGAAGGCTACACAAAAAGCCTATACAGTCAAGAAGCCTACACTAAAACCTATACAGTCACACTAAAACCTATATGGTCACACTAAAACCTATGTAGTCAAGAAGCCCACACCAAAACCTATATTGTCGCCGTGGGGGTAGTCTATCCCATAGACAACACAAGAAACGAGCCCCGGACAAGTACAATGTAAGAGGTTCTCAAGCGGTGGCGCGTTCTGCATCCGCTACGTGTGTTGTGTTTAGTGGTGATATTTTTCGGAAGTTTTCGATGGAAATGACAGGGGCGAACGCTGGGGGCGTGTGAAAAAAGAATTAAATGATCACTACTCTACAAAAAAAAAAAAACAGGTCAAGAGGGCACGCAGGGTTTATTTCTTCCAAGGTAGACACATCAAGTGCAAAACAACGGACAGCTCCTTCTTGGCCATTGCCAACAAATAAGGCAGGGGGTCAACACACCGACCGCCATGACGCAAACGCTTAAAACACACAGCACATGGGTTGTAATTTTTTACGCAAATACAGCAACGCGGTGGGAGACTAGGCATCAAGGAAGGAGAGGGGGGTATGCCGGAAACAGACGAAACAAATAGGGTGTTTTTACTGCTGTTCCCTTTTCGGTGCCATGATCTCGCCCTTGCCACCGTCCGTTATCGGAAAAATACACACTCGGACGCCACAGATCATGGCCATCAGATTCGATGTTTTCGTTCTTAGACGCGCCGAGGCTGGGCTGACGAATTTTCATTGGTCGGTCGGGTTACACATGTAGCGCGGTCGACGCCAACAAGTGCACACACGGCGCAATGCACACTCTCAAGTTTCATCACCAAGGTTTCTGCCATCAGCAACAGCTGCAACAACGATGACCGCAACGACGGGCTCACGCGTCGCCTTCCACAAGACACCTAACTCTAATTCTCAAAGCTCGGTCACTCCACGACGAAGAGGATGGAAACATTTGCCTTCGGAAAGCTCTCTCTCTCCCTCTCGCGCGCGCGACGAGACGGCGTCAACGCCGACGTTTCGGTGGTGCCACTCTTCCCGCTGCGGAGAAGTCGAGCATCGAAAATAATCGTGCCGCCTTTCGCAAGAAATGAAGTTTCATGACGAAATAGAACCGGTACGCGCCATGCCCGTAGCCCTAGACCGATTATTTCAGCAGCTTCCGCCGGGTTTTTTTCGATTGTGTAACCACACGTTGGACAAGGTATGCAATCGGGGATGTTGGGGTTCGGGTTTAGGAATAGGGTACCCCGATTGCAATAAGACCCTATTCCTAAACCCGAACCCCACCATCCCCGATTGCATACCTCATCCACCGTGTTTACACAATCGAAAAAAAAACTGCGGAGGCTACTGAAATCATCAGTCTGTAGGGCCACGGGCATATGCGGGCGAGCAGCAACCAAACTCTCACCGTCTCCATCTCCCTCAAGAGCGCCACCTCGCTCCTCGCTCGCGCCGCCGCCGCCGCAGCCTTAGCCCTCGCCAGCTCCTCCTCCTCCTCATCGTCCTCCCCTTCTTTACCGCCGCCGGATTCGAAAAACTGCGGTAAAAAATCGAGATTTTTTGTGATTAGCTGGGCACGACTGGTCTTACCCGCCGGATACGACAAACTGCGGCGAAAAATTGAAGACCGCGACGTTGTATGGTTCAGCTTGGCAGAGCGGCTGGTTTTAGCCGCCCGTTTCGAAAAACTGTGGGCAAAAAAAAAAAAAAAACGATACGTTGTGTGGTTCAGCTTTTTCACAACGACTGGTTTGGGGCGCCCGTTTTTTTTTTTGACAAACAGCGACAAAAAACAACGAAATTTATCTTGGCACAACAACTGGTTTCGGAAGACAGCAAAGAGAGAGAATGGATGCCGTTTCGAACAGATAAATCCAGTTTTAAGATCAGGACATGGGAAGGTCGGGCAACGGATGGGCAAAGATTATGGTGTCCACAGAACGGGCGTCAGCGAAAGTTCTGGGCAAGGTTCAGAATCGATTCAAAACGTCGAGAAAAGCCCGACTCGACAACAACAACAACAACAACAACAACAACAACAACAACAACAACAACAACAACAACAACAACAACAACAACAACAACAACAGCAACAACCAGGCCATCGGCAGCAGGAGAACAACAAGAACAACAACGACAACAGCAACAACCACAGCCAAGCCAATAGCAGCAGGAGCAGCAAGAACAGACACGACAACAAGAAGAAGACGAGAAGAAGATCAATAAACAAGAACAAGAAGAACAGTACAATAACAATACCAAGAACAACAGATAATCAGGGAGGACAAGCAAGCCTTCTGTTTGGCCCTCGTGCCGCGGTTGGGAGAGAGACAACACCCTGCAGTGGAAACTGCACCCGATACAGTCGTCCCTCGATTAAGGACACGCATGGTTCTCCGTTTCAGCAGGCGTCCTTAAGCCGGGGAAGTGCCCTTGAGGTTCATACCCATCCTTATGTGGTACATTCTGCGAGCCAACATGCCTGTGAAAAAACAGTTGTCCTTAACCGGGGGTGTCCTAAAAATGGTGTCTTTAACCCAAGAATGACTGTACTCAAAAGTGCACTTTAGGTATCAGGACCCGAAACAAAGAACTCCACGAATGGACGCGAGCACGACCCGAAAAAGAGAAGCGGGAGAACAAGAAGGGGGTGCCACACGCGAAATTTGCACTTTACTGTGCCCCCCCCCGCGCGCCTCCGAACGAAAAAGAGGTAGGAATGCACAGTGCCGCTGAAGTAGGGGGGGGGAATAGGAAATACGTGTAAGCTACGGAGACAAGCTTGACGCATGGAACAGCTAGAAGAAGACCGTCGGTACTGGGGTATAAGAAGTGACCTAAGCAGGCGAAAGGTAGACAGGACAGGGAAAACCTTTTGAGCTACCGTTGCACTTTAGGACGGAGCGATTGGCCATCGCGATTGGCCCTGTGGGAACAATTCTCCGTCCTCTCGTGGCCAATAGTCAAACCGCTAAGGCATGCAAAAAATGAGGGTACCGAAAGAGGCGGATCGATGGTATCCCTCGGGACCGATCCTCAAAGCCCGCTTGCGTTCACAACCAACATTGTGCCAACACCGACAATGATTTCGGAAACATCTCGATCAGGGCCTGCCGTAGACGTATATCGGGCCCTTTCCGCACCCGCTTGGTTGTGGAGCAATCGAGCTTTGAAAGCTGGCCATGTCTCCGCCTCTTGCGGTACGCCCCCCCCCCCCGCCGCCGCCGCCGTCCAGGCAAACAAATCTCCGGGGGGTCTAAACTCGGACGTGGCATGCAGTAACTGATACCTTGTCGGATACCCGCTGAAGAAAAAACTGTGCTGCACACACAACAGGCCTTCTAGAGTTTACCCACTCACAGAGAGAGGTACTTCGCGACAAGTCTGTCGAGCATGACACAAAAATCGATTGGGTAGCGTTTCTGTGATTGCAGAACATCTTCTATAACTAAATACGAAGTAACGAAGTCCACGGGTTCCACATTTGTCGTTGGGACGCAAAAGCGTCCTGGAAACATTCACCTCTTCGTCATCAGAATCTAAATCCTCGCCGCCCTCCTCCCAGCTCTGCTCATCCTCGCCCGCCGCCGGCTCGGTGCTGTGACCGCCGTCGTCGTAAGCCGAACCGGCACCACTTCCGCCGCTGCTTTGGGTTTCTACGTTGGAGTTGGCGCCGCGGTCAACGAGGAGGCCTCCGGAGACGGAAAGGCGCGGGTTCTTCGATGCCATCGAAGACCGATGGCCGCTATTGGTGTTGCTCGTGTCTCTATGGCTGTCTCTAGCGCCGCCGCTGCCGCTGGCTCCGCCCTCCCCTCCGCTCTCTCGCCCGTTACCGCCCGTCTGCTGGGCAAGGTTCGGATGAAACAGATGGGCATGAGATTTACTACATATCGCCACATAAAATACGCTGCGCGGGCTGCAGGAGGATGCGTGTGTTTGTTGTGTTTCATGTAGCATCAACCGCGCTAATTGGTTGTCGAACGAAAAGACTTGAGTCTCATGGCGGGACAAATAGCAGGAGCAGGCTTTCTAGTCACACGGTGTGTGTGCGCCACTGCTGTATGTTGACACCGGCCACGCTAGCCGGATCACCAATGAGAGCACATTACGTCAGTCAGTCTTCGCGGGGAAAAAAAGCTAGACCTTCCAGCATTTGTCGTCAGGGTTGGGGACAACTTTCGAAGGTCATTTGATTCTAGTCGGTGCTGGGTGCCAAGTGAACTAAACAGTAACAAGCTACAGCAGTAATAGGGATGACGACCACACGGACGGCCTCAACAGCCGTCTACAAGACAACAACAAAAAACACACGACACGGCAACAGCAAAACAGCAGCACCACAACTACCACCCACACTGCCACCACCGCCAACAACAACAACAACAACAACAACAACAATAACAGCGGTAGCAGCAGGAGATGGCGAGAGTTCATTCACACTGAAAACTTCGCTACAATCATGACCTCGACGCTACCACCTCCAGACGGAGCACCGTATTCTCGACGCAGCAGCACGTGTGCGGGAAGCCTTCATCCCCAGCACACCCATGAAACACAAGGCGCTGTCAAACTTTACACGCGAACTCCGTGTGTTTGAACCTCTTCTCTTGTTGGCATCGACGCGGCCACAAAGCTGGCCTAGAGAGAAGAACACGCGTCCGTCGGCTACGGGTCTGTAAGTAGTACGAAGTCGTGTTTTTCTCGTTCACGTTCTTTTGTCGGCAACCCCTTCCGCACCTGTTGCTGCAACGCCAATCGGAGCCGCTCCATCTGCCCGTGGATAGCGCCACCGGCGGAGCGCTCGCCCCCGTCCGTCCCAGCCCCATTGCCGCCGCCGCTGCTACCCGTACCCGCTGCCGCGCCCCCGTCCTTGGCGCTATTGCCGCCTGCTCTAGAGCTCGCCGAGTCCCAGCCCTCGGCACGCCTCCCCGCCGCCCCGTGATCCCCTCCTCCACGGCCTCTTCGCCCCTTGCCCCGGCCTCCGCCATCGGCCGCCTGTTGCTCTGCCCCCTTGCCGCCGCCCTCTCCGCCCGCTGCCTCGCCGCCTTCCCCCGCGGGAGGCTTCAGGTAGGCCTTGGCGATCTCCTGCACGAGGTCGACGCCGAGCCAACCCCCCCTCAGCATGGCAGCGAGGTTGGTGCTGGATAGGGGTTCTGGGGGGCGGTCGCGGTGTAGGTCGGCGTTCCGGATGCGCCTTCTGCCTTCCCGAGGGGCTGCTGCTCGGGTTGGGTGGGGTGTGATACGGAACAAGGGACGGGGTGGTCAGGGCGTGATACGGAACAGCGGGCGGGATGGGTAGGGTGTGATACAGAACACGGGGCGGGGTGGGTAGGTTGTGATACGGGACAAGGGACGGCGTGGGTAGGGTGTGATACAGAACGAGGGACGGGGTGGGTAGGGTATGATACAGAACAATGGACGGGGTGGGTAGGGTGTGATACAGAACAATGGACGGGGTGGGTAGGGTGTCATACGAAACAAGGGACGGGGTGGTCAGGGTGTGATACGGAACAGGGGGTGGGGTGGTACATACAGGGTGTAATACAGAACAAGGGATGGGGTGGGTAGGGTGTGAAACGGGACAAGGGACGTCGTGGGTAGGGTGTCATGGGGAACAAGAGCTGTTCGGGGACAGGGTGGGTAGGGTGTGATACGGAACAAGGGTCGGTTCGAACGGTACTTTTGGGATTAGCTGGAATGGGAAGCGGGCGGCAAAGTGGTAGGGCCACTTCTCCTCTCTCTCGACACAGCAGTTGTCCGCGGCGTGCAGACAGAAACGTAGACTCCTGCGGGAGGGATTTGTACACACACGTTAAACAGAGAACGTTGGAAGTGACACGACGCACACTAATATGGCGTGTTAATCCTTCTGTTCTTGGGGGAAACACGCAGAACAGTATTATAGTGACTTCGCGAACGTCCGTTCGAAATCCATCGAGTTAATTGAAGATTACAGAGAGGGAGCTGCACCAGAAGATGATCGTATGTGTACGTCTGTAGAGGGCAGTACAGTAGTCTGGGAGAAAGAGAGTGACGCCTACGGCTTGCGAGCACCCGAGAACAAGCAATGCAACGGGCGCAATAATCCGTACATGGCCATCCGCACACGTAGCAGGTCAACAACCACACGACCCGAGTGCGCTTGTTGTGTACCGATAGGGAGGCAATGGTACACCTGTGCGACCGACACAGAGGCTACTTAACTTTCGATTCGATACAACGTAAGTTTCGATACGTTTGTTTGTTGAGATGAACCAAGCTTGATTGAACCACCGTTGAAGCCAGTGAAAACAACGAAAAATTTCGCTCGGAGCGGAAAGCGAGACGGCGAAGGAGACAAAAGGAGTGCCATGATGGACCCTACCAAAAGGAGTGCCACTGCCGCACTCTGTTTTGCTTTCGCTTGGCATGTGACTACAAGCTCCGTTGCCCTCTACCCTTTGTCGAAATCACGCCGCTCCGAGCTCTGATGTTTCGACGGCATACGAGGTAAACGATACTTTTTCGTACCTTTTGTCCACGACGAAGCCATTGGCGGTGCCCTAGATCCAACGATGGTAGGCTTCTCCCCCACTACCGCTGCAGCTGGGGCCCGTGATAAGAGCACCGCGCCCGCGAGAGACACAGCTGCCTTCATGATGTTGCCGCCGCTGCTCTCTTGGAAGTGGAGAGAACACGTGTGTCCCTGCCTTTTCGGCAAGAAGGGTTCAGTATCAGAGCGCTCTCCAGACCGTCGGCTTCGACCAGCAACAGGGAGACAGACTAACAATTTATTACTCTCTCGGTCCCGTGTGTAGTCGGTGTTGATCCTTTGCTTGCGTCAGGGTGTGTAAGAGCTGGTCTGGTGTGCACGGTCGCTGGCTTGATGCGTGTGTCGGGGTCTTCGCGAAAGGCGGGACCCCCCAATCTTCCATTTGGCGGCACCCCTCTGAGAGCTCTGAGCTGAGTGATGGCCTTGCTCCCGCGAACGTCGGCACACACACAGGCTATCGAAACTACGGACCGGCGAAAGCAAGGTGAGTGGGTAAGTTGATCACTCATGTAGGGAGCTATTCCCGGGAGTAGCGTGGTGTGGTGCTGAGAGCGAGTTGCATGGCCTTTTTGAGACCCTCTGCGGGTTCGTCAGCGGTTTCTTCGTGGCGCAAGCCACACTCCCCGCCGGAGTACTTTTGGCAATGCGCAGAGCTTGGGCGCGACCTCTCCTTCTCCCGAAGGCGAGGGAGCGGCGTTGACGCCCTTGAAGCAAGAGGAAGGAGCAGGTGGTTGGCGGTGTTGATGTGCAGTGTCGAAACCGTCCAGATTTGCTCACACATGTATCGGGTGTATCACCTCCGTCGTATGCATACTCCATCGCAGTTATTCCATGTGTACACCAACAGGACATGTGTTCGTAGGCCGCGCTTGCACAGCTACCAATTCATACCTACATGGGGAGACAAACACACCCAATCGAAGAAAGGAAGGCCCGGCTCTGACCTACAAGCAAAGCGAGATGTTGTTCACACGTCCTCGGAAATCAGTCATAGTTTGCTTACCGCCCACAACATCATAAAAAAAAAACATAAGCCTCCTCGCACGTAGGCTATTGTACACTCGTCCTGTTGGGAGGAGCGGCGGGATATACATACTGCTGTAGGTGGTAAACCGGAAGGACTTGATCGTTCGATTGGCTTATGTTGTTTTGGCTGTTGGTTTTTGTGGAAAAAACGCACACGATTTTTAGTGAGTGGTTTCGGGGAATCGTTTTTTTTTGTAATTTTGGTGTCGGCAGAGTTTTGTTGAGCCTGTTACCGCAGGGGAGATGTCCCTATATGCTGTCTGGGAAACCGTAGACACAGGTACTTTCTGACGCTATGAATTCATTGCTAATCTGTCTCAGACTCTTTTCTATGATAGAGATGGATTCGTTGTGTCATATTAAGAAAAAAAAAAAAAAATGCTGGGCGTCGCAATCTGTCGCTCGATCAACACCTCTTCACCTCTGCTGTGTAGAACCTGTTGTACTACAATGTAGGATCGCTCTTTTGCATCTCGGATCCCGGAGCATGTTCTCAACGGCTGCAACCACACCTCGCAAAGGCAGGTGTATCTGCATATTGACCTGGCCATTTGCGTGGGGCAAGTGCGGACAGTAGAAGGTACTGAGTGGAGACCGGAACGGTTTTTACTGTGAAGACAACGACAGCGACAACAACGACGCGTAAGCGGCCACTTTGCTATCGCTGGTTCTGCCCGCAGACAAATAACAACACAGCCAACCGCATCCGGTTCGTGTAGGCAACGGCAAGCTCCTCCCCCGTATTGTCGCGTCGGAGGCACCGAGTGTGATGCTAGACGCAGTGGTAATTTAGTCGGAGTAGTGGCGGCCAGCAGCAGCGGGACTTCCTCATCACCCGAGCCGGCCACCGACGCTCTGGAGAACGGGTAGGTGCGAATGGTCTTCGTCTACCATCTTCCTTTCGTGACGCCGATTTCACGATTCTCTGCTGGAAACCATGCTGTCAGTGTTCGTCGTAACGAACACCAGCAGCATGACATCCAGCAATGAATGGTGAAATCGGCGTCACGATGCGAAAGATGGCAGGGCCGTTCGCACCTATGTACGCGTTCTCTAGAACGCTGGTGGCCGCTGCGGGTGATGAGGATCTCTCCACCGCTGCTGCTGGAGGTGCCGCGGCTACCTCATCAGCTGCGGCCACCTTAGCAGCTGCCACTACTCCGACTTCACTAGACGTCCAGCATCAAACTCACGTGTCTTCGTCTGCACGTGGAAGATGAGCTTGCCGTTGCCTAAGGCACTACTGTGTACCGATATACTCCCTCCTGACCAAAAACCTGCTATGTACCGTTAGCACTCCCTCCTGGCCAACGATTTATTTCTTCCACTGCGAAACATATTCGCTCTGCGACAAACGACGCAGGCGCGCGCGGGACGTGTAACGGAGTAGTCAGCAAGCATGAGCTCGGTCATGGCGGCGTCCCGGCGAGCAGCCGTAACGGCGGCGGGCCTCCGGCGCGCACCGGCGGCGGCGGCGGCGGCGGCGGCTGCGACACGAGGGGGGGTCATGACGGCGGGGGCCACCAGGGGTATGGTTTCCAACCCGGCCCTCACGGCGGCGTACAACACCGTGTGGAAGGTCAGTAAGGAGTATTTACCATCGGATGCTGGGGGGGTGACGCGGTGTGCTGCTTCGTGACCGGGGGGGGGGGGGGGCCGCAACAAACAGGGGCATATGACCTTGGGCCCCCCCCGGGCTTGTAAATGTTTTATAAAAAAACCCCTGGGGGGGGTTTGAGGAAATTACCATGTTGGGGTATCGGGACCCTGGTTTTGATTCCCGGGAAAGGGGTTGAAAAGGGCGGCGGGGCTTTTTTCCCTATGGGTGCCCCGGGGGGAAGGGCAGTAAGGAGTATTTGCCATCGGGGGCGGGGGGGGGGACGCGGGGGGCTGCTTCTTGACCGGGGGGGGGGGGGCCAGCAACGAGCAGGGGCATATGACCTTATGCCCAGCCCGTGCTTGTAGATGTTTATGAAAGAACACCTGTGGTGTGTTTGAGGAGATTACCATGTATGGGTATTCGTGACCCTGGTTTTGATTCCGTGGAAAGGTGTTGACAAGTGCTGCGTGGCTTTGTTCCGTATCGCTGCCACACAGGATCGTGACTCTGTCTCCTTCCCTCCCCCCATCTCTCCCTGTCTCTTTTCTGTCTGCCTATCGGTCTCTCTCTCTTTCGACCCCCCGTTGACTCTGGTGTGCGTACTCCTGGCGATGTGGGCGGCGGGGCGCGTCACAAACATGACAGAGCAACCCGATGTACATCACGTACATCATCGGAGCCTCGGTGGTGCTCGAGTTCGTCTATGGGAAGGTCGGAGACAGCATTTTTAACTCCATCAACAAGGGGGTGAGTGAGAGCTTGTGCTGCACAGATAGGCGAAACGCAACAAGAAAGACCTGTCCGCTTCTTGGCGGGCGCGCTCGTATCCCACCCCCCCACCCCCTTAGAGCAGTTTGAATCAGTCTCTCCTGTGCCACAAGTTGGCGTTGTGCCGAGTGCTGACTGACATGGTTTGATCTTTCTGAGAGCTTTCTGCAGCCTTTTCGTGCGATTTTTTTCACCTTCGCCGTGGTGTGGGTTGGCGGAGTTTTTTTTTTTTTGTCTTCCAGCAGAGGTGATTGAAGAAAGCATATGCAAAACACTTCTCCGATCATCCCTAGGCTGTTGGCAGTAGACCGGGAACCGCCGCGCTCCCAGTGCAGGGGGGGTGTCTCTTCGCGGCGTAACCTTCCCGTCAGTTACCCCGCCCGATGTGACGGTGCCCCCTGCGCGAGGTTTCAGTTCTCGTTGGCCCCATGCCGGTGGATCCGCTGCACGTTAGTGGTTTCGCCTTCTCTGCTGTGAAATATTTGCTCCTTCCCCCCCCCCCCCCCCC